CCAAGACATAACTTTCTGATAATTTTATACACTTTGAAGTAAGAATGATGTATGTTAATGAAAGAAATATCAAATTTTAGAACAACATTTTTTAACCATCCAGACGTATGAATTTGATATATAGCAAAGAGGCAAAAAAATAAAATTCACACTAACAATCTTTCAAATGATTTGCATAAACCTATAAGTTACTAAAATTAGGGAAACTAATTAAAACATTTAAACCTTATTCTATCACAAGAAAAGTTTTGAATTAAACCATGGAAAAAGAACAAAGCTCCTACAATATGGCTGAGAGACCATAATTAAATTTGTTTTTGTCTTTAAACATTATTAAGTTATCTAGTATTAAAATATGACAATATCAAACTTCCAATTGGAACACTGTCTCGCTACTGTTCCAAGATATGCAAGAAAAATGGCCAAAAATATTTAGAAAAATATTCTAGTTTGCATTTTACTAAACCAAAATTTTCATTCACCATTTTTTTCCCGGTTGGTTTCTTATTTGAAAGGAAATTACACTATGATTCAAGAGAGCACAATTTGATGACATTACCCATGCATAATCGAGTAAATGGTTATCCATGCATTAAAAAAACAACAATGTGCAACCTGATGCTAAAGTTCTACTTTAGTACTTGTGCTTGAAAGGTTTTAGCTCCCTGAGTTACTAAAGACTTAAGCAACAAGAATTAGGCATTAAGCTATCTTGATAGGTCTCCTATAAAAGAATGAAACTCCCTAAAGGCCATTAAGGGGAGTACTAATCACAAACTACGTCTCCGATCAGGAAATCTGGGCCTTGTTAACCAGTGGTAGAGGTCTGGCTAATGAATCACTAATTATGGTTAACAAAGAAATTGAATCTTGAAAATCCTCGAATAATAAAGACACTCCTTCAATTTAGTAAGTTACATCGGCGTCATTGTACTCTATACTTATGGTCAAACTAAGCATTCAATGCAGCATTTGATTATCAATTCTATAAGCAAACAAATCGGAAATATCACCAAAACATTAAAAACATGAAGCATTAAGTTTGATGCTATCACCAACTCTAACCTCTGGATTAATGCGAGTAAGAACAATATTCTTCTCTGGCAGTCTAATAATTGGCCGAACAACTTGCTCATGACCATCAGATAATTGGGGCACCTCTTCTTGCTGAGCTTTATATACTTTCCCACCATCAACAACAGAATCATTCTCCGTGTACTGCTTCAACAATGCCCTGTCCTCTATGTACCGCTTCATCTCAGCAGACATCCCCGATGAACGAATTGGGTCTATTTCACGTGCAATCCAACCCCGCAAAGCTTCAATTCTGTCTTCGAAAGACTTCATTGTGTTAGCGACAATGAGAGTCTCATCAAGATCGAATACGATTGCTAGACACCGTAGATTCAACATCCCTAAACAAGCATTGTATAAACCACATGGCACTGAATAGCACCAAAAGCAAGGAAACTTCTTCAGCTTGCTTGGCATTGCCACTAAATGCACCTCTTCATTCCCAGCCACAACCACTGCTGTCTGAGATATCAAGAAAGCGAGTAAAATTTGATCAACACTAGCAATAAATAAGAAACAGAAGTCCCTCATAAATACAACTTTAAATTAAAAAAAAAAGGAAGGAAAGTCGCACAAAGAATGTCATATCACAATATGAGCAAAAAATTATTGATGATAAATAGAATAACTGGTACAAATTGACAAACAAACGACAAATCACAAAATTATTCTTCATGACACAGGCCAAAGGAAATATGAAACTGGGAAACATCAAAGTGTGATAAGCAGCATAATAACCTCCAGGAATTAAAAACCTATGCGGCACAAATTCAGATATGGATATGGAATTATCTGGTTTTCTCCTCGACGATCAGTACATCAATAATTTTTGCCAAAATGATGACCAATACAACAATGTGACATGTACTAACATTAGATACAGTCAAGATTTCACCAGTGCAGAAACATAAGTAGGAAATTAGGTAGAGATGATATGAATGTGGAAGATAACGTAGAAAGACATGGTAGCTTGGAGTGACCTTCAGTTCGTAGAAGCAAGAGGCGTGAAGATTGATCAACTGAGACTGATCGGATGTGGGAATTGAGCTGGGGGGTTCAAGTTTGCAGCGAACAGGTGAACCAGAGATTGTCTGGAGAACAGAGAGCGGATGGCAGCGCTCGCTGTTGGGGGAGATGTGGTGAATGCGTATCTCGTTGTTTGGGAACTGGAAACTCTCATCCTTCACTGCAACACTATCCAGCTCTCCCAGGCACGCCTCCCCATCATACACCACCACCCTTCTTATAAACCCTAAACGGCTCATTTCTTTTTTTCTTTTTTCTTTGCAAAAACAACAAAACTTTCCAATCCACGACCAATTTTATCAATCCTGATTGAATTTCTGCGAATGCCGTGACTGACTTTTGGGAGCTATACCTTGTTAACTTTTTCTCCCTCTAGGTTTCCCTCTCAAGAGAAACACACACACACACTCTCTCTCTCTCTCTCTCTGGCAACGCACTCCCAGTGTCCCTCCTCTACCAACGGTTTCAAAATGAGGCAAGGATTGGGGATTTATAGTGGGGGTAAGAGGGCTGGGTATATATAGAGTACTGGCTTTTGACATATTTACGGAAATGCCTACGTGTGAGTTTGTACGGATTTTATCCAGTGCAGCGGCAACAAATAACTAAAAGTGGGGAATGAGGCTAGTTTTTTTTGTTGGGAGCCTTGTTGCCATAGGGCGTGGGGATTAGGTGCGAGTGAGAGTTTGTGCGCGTGGCTCTTGTTAAGACTTCACGATAAACCATGATGCATCGACCCGTCCATCGCTCAATTGAATTCTTAGATTTATGTGTAAGAGGTTGTGATCCGCTCGCCACCAAAGTTTAGTTGCGTGGGTTTGTATCAGATTATCCTATTGACTAACGCCACTCAGTAACATCAAGGGATACATCTTGTGGTACGTCGCATCACAACGGTCCCACCAAGTTTATAGTAACCAGAAGAGCAAAATATCTGAGTAGCCACTAAATTTTGTGAGTAACGATGATTTGGCCATTCAACTATTATTAATGATACGTTTTCACTCACTAAATTGTAGTATACAAATAAACCATTTCGTCTGATTCTATCATTAATTTTGTTAGATATAAGAGTTCACACGATTCACGAAACATACTATTAACAGTTATATATATGACAGAATCAACGGTAAAATTAGACAGAATGAATCAAAATTTACACTTTTAATAATTTAGTGGATACAAACGTACTACTAATAATTGAGTGGCCAAAACTCCACTGTTTGAAAAGTAAGGTGACTAATTAAATAAGATGCTCTAACGAACGAAATATCATGGGCAACGAGATCAGGCCAAATCTCGTGGACTGTATTCCTTTTTTTTTTTTTTCTCTTTTTTAACCTCCTTATTTTTTTTTTGCTGATTATGAATAGGTGATTCGAATGTAAAAACTATAAAGCTTTGTTTGGATCTAAAAATTTGATGAATGATTTGAAATTTATCCAAATCGCTTCGATAGTTTGGATTGCTTACGAGATATTTAGGTTTGTAATTCATTAATTATCAAAATATATTTTAAACACTAGAACAATTAATGATTTATAAATTAAAATACCTTCTAAATAATCTAAACAATTAAAGGAATTTGAAAAGATTTCAAATCCTTTGTTAAATCCTTCAATCCAAATGCAGACTAAATGTTTTTCACTTTTCCAAACTTAAGGATGGGAGCGGATCAGATACCTTAAAAAATATCTCTTATCGAACCCTAGTCTACCTATCTAAATATTTTATCAAATCTTATTGAGTAACCCTACGGATTTTAATTCCCTCTACCAAACTCTCCTGCTTGCATGTTCAGATTACCATGTGGTACCCTCTACCCACTAAGCTGAATAGTTTAAAAAAAGGAAAATTAACTTTTATCGAACTAAAATCAATATATACATCATATTGAATTAACACACTGCATTGAGTTTTAAACTTGGGTAAAGCCATAAAGTTTGCAGGAGAAAAATCTAAACATTTAATGAATAGTTGAATCAATATTATTATGTTTTTATTCATAATTGCTTTCATTTGTGCTAGGTTAGAGTTATATACTATTGGGTTATACGGTTAAGAAACATGTCATCGGACTATTGAATTGGAACCTAAGAATATATATACATATACATATATATAAATATATACTCAGGTATTGGAATTTTAGGGTCCTCTTACCAAATCAATGAATGTAGTTCACGAGAAATATCTAGACGAAATGATGCTTGCAATAAAGTTGGGTTCATCAGCGACATTTGTTAGAATTTGATACGCAATTATTATATGTTCTAGTATAATTTTATCTCAGTTGATTCAAGGGAAAACCAAAAAAAAAAAAGTTAATTATTAATAGAGCGACAGTTTAGAAACTAATAGCAATTAGTTCCTATAAAGGCTATCGTATTATACACTCTTTAGTAAAGTTTAATCAGTATCACGCGCATAAAATCTCATGTAATTAGTAAAGTTTAATATTATTGTGTTTTTATGACATCAGATGGCAAGAACTTATATCGCCAACAAGTACAAAAATTGAGATTCATCACCGTCCACCAATATTCATGTAGATCTCATTTTAAACATGCAAAACATATCTACCATGATTTTGTTCCTTCCATTCTAATTATCTACTTTAGTTGTCTATGATAATTTTAGAAAGTGCCACAAGTACCTTATATGGTTTTCAACTTATATAGATTAAAGTAGGAATAGTTTAAAGGTTGTCGATAAAAGAAAGGAAATTTATGGCTTTTCAAATTGTAATATGACACCTTTTTGTAATTCATTTGGACATCTTCGGTTACCCTCTTACGCTTACCCACCATTTTTTATCCTACATAACTCACTATTTGTTTGGTTCACCAAAAATGAAGACAACCAACCGAACCCTATTCCAATTAAGACGACGAAACAAATTCCTCCACATCAAGATAATTCATAACTTCTAAGCTACAAAGTACATATATTTGCTTTTGGCAACGCGACCAAAAGATTTTGCAACAAACAACTACTCTCCCTGTCCCTGTCTGTTGATAGTTTTAGTGTTTTTTTTCATACAGTTTAAGAAAAATTAGTTGGCTTTGTTGGAAAAGTATTTAGCCTACTATTTTCCTAATGCCCTTAAGTTAATATTAATAGTGTGACCAATCATTATACTTTTACACTAATTTTCGAATTCAGATTTCAAACTTCAACTTTATAAAATAGGCTCCAGCTCTGCAAACCACTTGAAGACATCACAAGCGGAAATGACGCGAAAATCCTTGAGCAGAGAGGAAAACAAACGTTTGGATCCGTAGTCTTTGTTCACCACGTTTAGTGTCGGGTATAAGCCACGCAGAAATCCACTGATTAGATTTCCAAATAGGAGACCGGTAGAACAAGTCGTCAAGATCAGGCGAGCAGAAGATACAACTTTTAGCCATTCTCAAGGAGGATCAACACAAGACCAACAATTGGGAATTTTGGACTCTTGGCTTCATCTGGGAAGCATTTGTGTCACACTTTGAGAAGTATCCAACCCAGCTGACATCGCAAAATATGCTGACATCTTGCCCTTGTCCGACCGTGAGGATGTTATTTGCAAGCCACCACCGCCTGATTGCCTAGAGGTATGCGGTCTATAGACTCCCGGAGCATCAAGTAACTGCTCATTAAGGTTAACCTCCTCAGAGAGCATCTTAAGCACTTGCTTCATTCCAGGCCTTTGATGAGCAGCTGCTTGGGTACAGAAGAGTGCAACTTGGATGAAGCGTATAACTTCCTCTTCTGGATATTCTCCCAATTCTGGATCAACAATCTCTAAAATCCTACCTTCTTCTCTTAGTTTCCAGGTCTGAAAGACGTGTTGGCAATCTAGTCAATATACAAGAACATTGATGCGTACACTATTATTCTAGCAAAACCCCTTGCACAGATTCAGCAACCAACATTACAACAGACTTGTGTCTATGAGATGAAAAGCGCAATAACTGATGCTAATAAACAACATCTCAATTGTAGTTTTCAAAAAAAAGTAAAGGTTCTGCATGGTTGCAACTTACCCATTCCACTAGAACCAACAGATCCTCCCCGAATGCCGCCTTACTACTACTTCTGCCACTTACCAGCTCGAGTACAAGCACCCCGAAGCTATAGACATCTGCCTTCTTACTAAGCTGTCCTAGCAAGGCATACTCTGGAGCTAGATATCCACTGCAGAAACATATTAAGACAAATGAGATTTTTTCTTTTTCTTTTTTTTCCCTATCTTCTTCTTCCTTCTGGTTGTGCAGGCCGATTGTGCATTAGATTGCTCATGCTAAACTTATAGTACTCACCCCAAATTAGAATTAATTTTTTTTTTCTCTGGATGAAATTGTACTCCTTTCAAGCATGGTTCAATATTTTTGAAGCATAAAATCAACATCATCAGTCAAGTGACTGTCCAAACTGGGCAGCTAGAGGCAGGAAAGGGAAAGATACATTCAATTCAAATGCACATTGAGACAACTTCCACCAGCAAAATGAGGCCAGAAGATAAACGTTTTATGCATTTCAGATCTAAATTTAAGCATTTGCGAGAAATGCAACCCTCTTAACACCGATTAAAGCACTCATAGACAAACTTCCTTGGACTCCCTCATGGCTGTGACACTAAAGGTAAGTAATCTTAAGTCGTCAATGTCAGAATGTCAAAAGATCTTTTAAACAATTTGAGCCAGACAGCAAATCTGGATGCTTTCCATAAGTTAAGACCAAACCATCCAACTCCGTTCTCTTAAATAAATGAAAAATCATACAACAACATGCATGTTATCAATACAAAATAATCAGTTGTAAGAAAGCCATAGAGAAGTAAAAGTCACACTTACACTGTTCCTGCCACCCTAGTACTAACATGAGTGACGTTGTCGGGGAAAAGCTTTGCTAGCCCAAAATCACCAATTTTGGGATGAAGGTTCTCATCAAGAAGAACGTTGCTGGCTTTTATATCACGGTGGACAATACTTGGGTCAGCTTCCTCATGCAGAAAAGCAAGGCCAGAAGCTGTACCCCTACATATGTTAGCTCTCTTGGACCAATCCATCTCAAGCCTTTTAACTTTTGAACCTGAAGTAGAACCAGCAAAAAAATTTTAGCTTGAAACTTGGTAATGGAACGTCTAATTTTGCATCTTATCTCCTTTTTGAATCATGGGATCCCATAAATTGGAACATTTGCATCAAAGAATCAGAAAATTACCGAGTAGAGAACTTGCAAGGCTGTTATTCTCCATATATTCATATACCAATATCCGATAACTGCCCTCGATGCCACAACCAATCAACTGAACAAGGTTTGGATGTCTAATATTTGAAATCATATTAATCTCTGTTAAGAATTCAGTGGTCCCTTGCTTCGAATCAGCAGATAGACACTTGATGGCAACTTGAGTTCCATCCCTCAAAACACCCTGCAATAGTACAAGAAGCTAGATAAGAGCCTCTATGAAGAGCTAACAAATTCAGAAGGATCGAGCATAAGAACGATATTGGCAAGGTACCAGAATAGCTTAGTTCCACGTTTCTCTCCTCTCTATTTCTCTCTCAAGCAAGGCTGCAATAACTGGAAAACTCATGGAGACACACAAACTAAGATTGATCATACCCTGTATACTACTCCAAAACCGCCGCTTCCTATTCTGTTTGATGGGTGAAAGTGTCCTGTTGCTGACCGCAAAGAGTTGTATGAGAACAGCCTGACATTGCTTGTAGCGAGCTCTAACCATGCAGAAGCAGATAGAAAACCAGAGAATGAGAAGTGATCAAATAGAAAATCATGGAAAAGAGTTGTACATCAGTACACGCATTAGTCAGATAAGACCATAACTTCGACCCTAAAATATGCAGCAGGTTATAAATCTCGTAAAACAAGTTTAGGCTCTTGTATCTTTGAACTGAAACTGTTCTCTAAGTTGTAAGCAGCTGAAGGCACTTATGTCCCGCTTAGATTAAGCTCAAACTGAAACCTGACTATGGAGCTTTATTTGTTAGCACGTAATGCTAAATTTTTCTGAACCAAACAACTCTAAACTGGGTAACATAGCTACCTTAAGAACACTTGGATCGACTCCACTCATCAAGGTCAAAAACAGATGTTTCCTAAAGACGCAACATTATGATGAGAAGCTTGAAGGTTGTGATTGCCTGGGGAATGTCTAGAGTTGGGAATTAGAAATCGGGAAAGATAAATTCAGGTTTGATTACTTATTCGTATGTCTAAATAGTTAAAGTTTTGAGCATGACATTAACAGCCTAATTTGTAGGTCAAGTTCGGAGACATTTGCTTTAGCAGATGATAACTAACGAAAAATTTCATGGCAAATCTCTTGACTCGTTAATATCTCTTCTTTTCATGCGTACAACACGCAAACCCCTTTAAGAAAACGGAAATGGCCTATAGAATGTTTCACTTCAACAAGAATGTTAATTCCAATCAACAAAATTATCACCATGCTCAAATTCAGCAATAATTAGAAGGAACTTCCATTCAAGCCAAAACTAAGAATTGAAATATTTTTGGCTCTTACCTCGTGGCCTCTGTGTTTTACTTGTTTCCTTGCAAGTAGAACCGAATGCACCGAAACAGCTACTAAACCCCATCCCTCCTTTTACTCATCTGACAAGACCCCACCAAGAAAAATCCAATCTTACATCACATCCCTTCCTCGTTACAATCATTGATGCACCTGCTTCAAATCCAGACCCATTATCTAGTAAGACAACAGAGTATGAAAACCCCATTGAGAAAAAGAAAATGGCAAACCTCTTTACCCAACTTCCGCAGGTTGTCTTGGACGGCAGAGGTAGATTATACCCGAATTCGGGTCTTGTTTGTATGATATAGATATCCATACAAACAGGTACATGTGTATGCATCCATTTTCAATTATAGTAACGTAATTAATTATTTCAGTGCGACCAAAAAGATTAATAATCCAGCTAAAGATATGGGTTGGGTTGATTTCTTGTGATATGGGGAAGTTTATCTTTTGATAATGACAAGTGAAATATAGAGACACAGGATTGAGTGGCGAAGAAAATCAGAGAAAACAAACACGAGGAAGAGTGCAAAAGCCAACCATAGTGCGTTGTTGTGGTCTAGTGACGAACTCCTGACTCTGTATACGCTGCTGAGTTGTAGTTTACTGCTTACTTTCGCCTTTTAGCATTTAGGTAGGTACTGCCTTCTTCTTGTGCTCGTAGTTGCATTAATGATTTTCGCTTCATCTTTATCGCTTACATAACCTCCTTTTCCCAGATGGATAAGTGTCGTGTGAATTTTGTAGTCTTAATTTTTCTTTTTTTATCGGTCCTAAATTATAATTATATTAACTGGTGGTTGGTGATCAATGCCATCTGCCATATGTTATTCTCTCTCTCTCTCTCTCTCTCTCTTAAGTTTAATGATGTATATAATGATTGTTTCTGTGTTGTACTTTACTGGGTAATTCTCCCCAAGAATTAAAAAAACATCATATATAATTAGTATGCATAGCTATCATAAGTTTGAAAAAATGGGACTTAAGTCGGTTCATGTTACTTTTCTTGCAAGTTTTATTAGTTGGTAGATTAGGAGAATTCGGTGAGCCCTGTGCAGCACACTCTGGATTTATGCTCTAGTTTACATTTGTTGTCCTTTCATTAGTTGGTTGGTCCGTGTGCTCAACGTTAGTGTTTTTGGAGGGCGTTGGGTAAATATAAAATTCTGAATTCAAAATTTTTTTACTAGAAAAAAAAAAATTCAAAGTTGCGGTACATGGGATAATATATGTAATTTAATAAGGAGCACAAGAAGGATTTTGACGTTACATACGTTTTGATTGCTTTGGAAATCAAAAAGCAGCCAACACTGCTGCAAGTTAAAACTTGGCTCGCCTTACCTTTTTTTTTTTTTTTTTTTTAAACAAAAAAACTTCCAGTGGTATACTTAATATGCAGGAAAATCCCTTATAATTTCAAAACATACAAAACGACGTCTCATATTTTGAACTAAATTATAAAATTGACGGAATCTGATAAATTTAACGGAAATGACGGTCTTGACTGTTAAACTCATTGAATTCCATTAAATTTACCGTTAAGTTTATTGAATTCCATTAAATTTTTCGTTGTGTTTACCAGATTTCGTTAAGTTTACTGAATTCCATTAATTTTATAATTTAGTTCAAAATATGAGGTATCGTTTTATACTTTTTGAAATCATGGGAGACTTTTATGTGTATTAGATATATCATAGAAATTTTTTTTTGTTTTTAACCCTTTTAAATTTTAATCAGGTACCAGGCTCTGCTTCGCCCTGGATTCAACATAGCCAATTATTTAAACAAGATGACGTCCATAACTATAAAGCGTTCCTTAAACGCCATATGCAGTTATGTAATGGGAGTAACGAAATCATAAATACTCGTCTTGCAACTCCCCTAAATTAGCTTGCACAAGCGACCAGGGACGGAGCCAGAAATTTATTTTTGGAGGGGCTGAAGTGTATTAAAAAATTTTTTTTGTGACGAAATAAATATATTTAATAAGTAAAATTTAGAATCAATAATTATAAAAATAATAAAAACATATAATTATACATACCCAAAAATTTGTTCTGAATTTTTGGGTATGTAACTTACCCAAATCTACAAATCTACAAAAGAAACAACGAAAACAGCAGGCCTATCAAGATATGTATAGTACTCGGAGGCATAAACCGCTCAAAAAAATAGTTTAAGAATTGCCCATCGCATACTAAAATAGTTTAAAAATTGCCCCTTTCATATGAATTTGATAAGTTCTTGGAAATCTCAAAATGCTCCAAAAAAATACTCTAAACTATCAATAATCTATCACTCACCCTGCTTATTGATTTCATGATCAGAATTCGAAATAAAATAAAAAACTAAGGCGGTCAAAAAGCGAAATAGCAGGAAAACTTTGATAGTAATTGCAAATTTAATTCTTCTTGAAGTGCAAGGGATGTCATAAGCGTTAAATCAAGAACTTTTCTAAATTCCAGGAAATACATTTACAGCATTCTTTGTTCCAGAACATACATTTAAAACAGCACCAACAACTATTGTTGGCAAGCTTCTTGATCAACAAAAGAAAGCCCACTCCACCATATAGTTCATGACAGCGATGCACAAAAAATACTTTGCCAACAACCAAACATCTGAAATAAAAAAAAAGGCTATGTTTCCCAGGCTCTATGTTTCCGAGTCTCACAGGCTCTAACAAAGTCCAGAATATATGATGAATAACTACAGAGTTCAGACCTGCTCAAAACATTTTAGGAAAATCCAAGTTATTACATCACCAGCAGGTGAAAACATAAATAACTATTGAAAATTTCAGACAATAATACCAGTATCCTAAGAGACACATAGGAAGAGAAAGGTAGTACCTACCTACCTACCTAGTTACCTACTGCATTTTAGAAGCAAGCATTTGGAATCCCCTATATATAGGGGGTTTTCCGGCGGCTTGGGGGGGGGCTTAAGCCCCCACCAGCCCCCCCTTAAATCCGTGCCTGCAAGCGACATGCTATTATATCGGTAATGAAATGCTACAGATGCTTCGAAAAATGAGCAATCTTTGCTACGGATAGGAACAGAATCAAATGAATACCTGAATCGAGAATGAGCAAAAAAAAAAAAAAAAAATTTTGAACTTACCAAAAAAATACGCCATCTCCTTTTTAGGCTTTAATATAAGTGTTGCCGAGAGGTACAGAATGCGTCCCAATTCCAAGAGTCTATTTTGACTACATTGAATATCTGGTGGAAATCGAACAAAACACAAAGACGAAAGCGGAAAGCATCCAAGACTCCGTTGAACCAACCATTGTCGTTCCACTTCGTTTTAGAAAATTTTAGTGAATTGGTATTAACTACTTATATTAAAGTAGAGGTCGGCTCATGGCACTAATAAATTAATAGTAATACAAGCTACATGTCATGTCTGCCATGTTTATGAGTTTGCAATTATGTCATTGCAAAATTGTAAAATGAGGCAAAAGGAAAGGAGCAATGTTTCAAAAAGAGACGGTACCCAAAAAAAAAAAAAAAACAAACTCCAAAGTCTAACAACTCCACTCTTTCCACAGAACCACTAAACAAGAAAACCAAAATCATACGCTTGGGAGTGACACTGACGCTGACGCCTAAACCTAGTTATGATTATATATCGGTAATCAAATACCATTAACTAGTTGCACATTTTAATTCTTTTTTATACGTCATATTTGTCTATACTAAATTGTAACTTGTCGACAAATTAATCTATTTAATCTGCAATTACATATCTAGTGTGCGTAGGGGTGGCAATGGGGCTGGGGACACCTCCCCCAACCCCCGCCCCTGTTGCATTTTAATTCCCCCCGTCCCCCGCTCCTGGCTTCCCCGTCCCGCTTCCCCGGCGGAGGCACCCGTGAGGTTAAAAAAAATTATTATATAAATTTATTATAATTAAATTTGAGCAAATAATCAAGTACTAAAATATCAACACATCACCAAATTATTATTTATTGTAACTTCACAATTGAAACTCATAAAAATAATTAAATAAAGGTTATTTGAATACAATCTAATATGATAAAACAAATATAACTAAAATAATCAGACTTTCACTTTTGATACAAATACAATCACTAAATTATTATTGTGTTTTTTTTAGAAAAAAAGTGTTATTGTATCAAGTGTAGTTAGAAATTTAACATAAATGTATTAATAAATTTAGTATAATAATTAATAATTTTTATTAATATACATGTATAATTAGTAATATAATTGATAATATTAATATATATATATAATTATGTACATATATATATATTTTCAAACAGGTGACAGGGCAGAGGTGGAGGGAATTTTTCCCCCGTTTAGAAACGGGCCCCGCCCCACCCCGCCACCCCCCATTGACCCCCGCGGGGCATGTGTTCGCGGGTGCCCGCCCCGTTGCGATCCCTGCGATCCCTAGGAGTGCGTCAATCAGTAGTTGATGTATAGAGCATTAGCCCTTTTTTTTTTGTTAAGTAAACTCTATCCCTCCTAATTTACCACAACAAAAAAATCATTAAGCTCAAATTAACGACCTTATTCCAGCTGAAATGCCCAAAAAATAAAAAACCCCCCCTCTATATTAGTAGTACGTAGTTCTCTTATGATAAATAATTACCCACCCCATTTAATTAATCAATTTTCCTGAATTTAAGATCATTCCAAGGGACGTGCCTTTTCCCAGAGCATCACCGCCGCGCGCGCGCGCGTATGTGTGACTGTGTGTCTATATATGGTACGCTATGCTAACGGGGAATATAGAGGGATAGTAGCAATATGCTGCTCAATTAAGCTGTCAAATTACACAGTTCTTTAAATTACACAGTTCTTTACATAATGAGAACGGATGTAAGAATCCATTAAGGTGTTCTCAACTTGGAGGCGGATGTTCAAGGATGAGCAGGTTGGCGTTCTAAGAGAAAAGTCCAAAGGTGTCAAAAATGGTCGTGTGGAGAGGGTCGCTCAAGTGGGTAGCCCAGTTGTTAAGCGGGCCTTTGCCAGTCGCGGCGGCTTGGACGGCAAAGCCGAGGGCGGCAACCATGGCAAGGCGGGCATGCTTGATCTCGGCAAGTTGAAGGGTAGCCTTCTTCTCAGGGTCAGCAGCCAACCCGAGCGGGTCAAAGAAACTTCCGCCAGGGTACAGCCTCTTTTCGGGGTCAAGCTCGGCATTCCTTTGGAACTCAATGTATCCAATGAGCAGCACCTCAATCCAGATCAATGTGCTCATGGAGAATGGAAGTGGTTGACCCAGGTATGATGATCCTTCCACAAGCTCAACCTGTTCAAATTAATGTAGAATCTTTTTAGCTCAATAGAATAGATGCGCTGAAAATTACTTCACTTCACTGCATACGTTTCGTACGTTACTAAAGCCAACATCGATTGGAATCCGCACTGAAAAATTATGTGTCAACGGCTTATTTCCTACTCGCAGTATAGGTTCTAGCCAGGCGCAGACAACTAAGAAATACGACACGACTAATGCATTTGTATTGTATACATATGCAGGTAAAGGTACCTTTCCGGCATCCTGCCAGGTAACTCCGGTGAGCCACTCGACAGCCAAGGCGCCAAGAGTAGCCAACATAGCCCACCTTCCGTGGATCAACTCACATTCTCTGAACCGCTGCAAGCCAAAGACTTCGTTGTAGGGCTGAAATGGAGTTGATTTCACGTCCGCGACTTCAGTCCTGGTTCCGATGATGTCACCGGCAACGTTTTTAGCCAAGTTCTGGTCCAAGGAGTCCAACTCAAATTGCAAGTACTCGGCCGGCTTGCCTAGTCCGAAGGGATCGAACCCATAGTCACCCACGAGGCTGCCGTCCAGATAGTCTGGTGCTATGGCTCCTGGATACCACAATGGACGGTCTGAGGTGCGCTTTGCGATCTTTTTAGGAGCTTTCTTGGGTCCGAAACCAAACCTTGCCTGGACACGACCGGAGCTGGAGTGGACCTCCGGAAGACGGGTTCCGAGGAAGGAGGATGTAGCGGCCGCTGTGGTGGTGGTGGCCATGTCGACGAATGTGAAGCTAGAGGATCTGAGAGAGTAGGAGGCAGGGAGGGAGGCGTGTGGTGTGATAAGGTGGTGTTTTTCTTGGCAGGGTTATAGAGCCCGCAAATGCAATTGCTGGTGGAGAAATAGATTTTGGGGTGCAAGGGATTATCTCTTGTGGGGATCTGTGTCCGTTGGATTGATTGATGAATCCATCTGAGGGTTGTCAAGCTCTGTGCCTTATCGATTTCTTATCCCGTCGCGGCCATCGATTGCTTTAACTGGTCTTATTGTAGGCCACGTAGGATGATGCTCTGTGGCTGACAAACAACTGGGGATTGGGAAAATATCTCTCCCCCTTTCTCCGTCGTATCAGGGACATTGCTATGAGCAAAGAGGATAGCGCGTGTATTTTTATTATGGCCCATGTTAGGCACGAAAGTTATCTTCTGCTTAGTTTTATACGTTAAACAGGTGTATTTATTGTACCACTAATGTTGAAAAGCGGAAAAAGAGAAACCCCACCTTTTCTTGTTTTGCCTCTACAGAACATATTCCGAGTTCCAAAAGCAAATACCTAATCAAAACAATCCCATTCTATTTGCGAATAGGTAACTCACATCTTTACGTGTTACAATCCACACTTTGTCCATTTCCTTCACGCTTGCTTTGTGCGGTGAAAATTCACAAGTGCGTGTAAATTTTATGGGCTCTTCTATTCATGACAAGTAAACGTATATTTAGTTGAAAAGCAACGAAATTGTTGGGAGGGTAAATGAGCATCAAACAACTGGAATGGCATCTGAGTTCCTTTTATAAGGTAGCTTGTGTCATTTGATACATAGACGGCTAAAAATTTAAGGAGTGTCTCATGACTTAATCGTGTGATTTGATCAGTAATGGATAGGCCATTGGCATGCATGGTATGAAACATTAACTCAGATACACACAAATGATGACAATATTCCTAGCTGGTCAGCGTTTGTTTCAACATACATGGATTTCCAAACGAGAACATTAGTGGGATGAATTCACTTAACTTCTGCACTAACTCTATGATCGCTTTTGTTAGTATTAGTTATCAGTCTTACCATGTTCACAATTACTACCATTTTCTAAATTTAACTCAGATACAACAAACGAAAAGGCAACTCTTCTTGTGAAAATTTACATTTAGGGTCTGTTTGTTTTGACTGAAAATATTTTCCAGAAAATATTTTCCGTGATTTCCGTTGTTTGGTTCAATTTAGCGCTAAGAAAATGATTTATGTTGTAAAATCTTTTCCATAAGTGGGTGTAAAATAACTTTACTTAAAAACTTACTGAAGTTATTTTTAACCCTCTAATCCTGTCCCTTTTGTCCTTAGTTACATTCATCAACATAAGAAGTAAAAAGCCATAGGAAATAGTTCCAGTGGGATTGTCTGATATCTCTCGACAAAACATCATCGATCCCTCTATTCATTCCATGCTATTCCTCCTCTCACAGAAACACAATCCAACATATCGCACATCCCATTGCATCTGTGTCAGATTTACAGAAACAATTAAGATCTACAGAAATATGAAGGATCTAGAGAGACAAAACAAGGAGATTGGTAGCATAAAGAAAGAAGAGATCTCAGAGGAACTTTTACAGGACGAAGAAAGTCTTTTAAGATTGGCCACGGAGGAGAGAAATGAACTAATTCTATATATCACCAACAATGTCCAGCTTTTGCTTTGGAAATTTCAATCCGAGATCTTCTAGATCTTTGAAAGAATTTTAGCAGTAAAAATATTATTGTGAGAGTTGGTTTTATTTCATTGTCATCTTCAATGTCTTATGACTGATTATGGTTGAGTTGGAAAACTGATATCGATCATTCATGTGTCTATTGCTTTAATCTCTTCTCAGTCAAAGAATGATGGCAGGGGTGGTGTATGTGTTGGAGGAAAGTTTTTTGTGATGGAGACGAGAGTGGAATGGCGGAGACGGTCGATGGGAGAGAATTTCTTGATATGGTGAGGAATTGAATTAATTATTCATGAGGATAAATGTTTTCCAAAAGTAACCAAACAGATGAAAATTAGAATGTAAACAAAACTTTTTCCAGAAAAAGACTTCCAATGAAAATATTTTACATCCTACCAAACAGACCCTTAGTGAAGCACATTCTTGCACGATTAGGTTTATACACATGGTAATTACGGAAGTAATCACATGTAGCTCCATATGGTGCATCACCCAAAGTAATTCTTTGTTGTATTTTTGGAATTCAAAATATAGTAACAATGGAGAACGTTAATCTATCTTTTGAGACTCGTGTAACGTATTAAATTGTCAATATATAAGTAAGATGTTGGAATAAATGGATTTGGAATTCAAGCTATACTTTTGCAATTGAAAAAAAAAGAAAATTTGATACTGGGGGTACAAATTGATATTGCCAATATATATATGAACATTAAAAGGTATAGATGATTGGGATCTTGGACCTGATAGTTGGGCATAAAAAGGATGTGGGGAGTGTCGGTATAAATTAATCAAACTACTTGACCCGGATTTGTGAGTAGTTCGATTTAAGGTTCGACTCGAATTCGGTTCGAGTTACTTGAGGAGGTAATCGAGTAAAGTTCGAATAGAAAATGTCAAAACTTGAATATTCGTTGAGCCATTATCGAGTATATTATTTATAATATAAATTTTAATTATTTATTATAAAATGATACAATTTACTGAAAAATCAAAATTGAAACCTTAATTGAACTCGATTTGGTGACTTCGACTTAGTGAAAAAAAGTTCAAACTCAACTTTGAAGAATTTGACGAAATTGTATCCAAATATTTTTACTCGAGCAGAATTTGAGGAGTGCATTATTCAACCTTGACTTGATTAGTGGGAAAGGGTTGGAAGGGTAAAAAATATAAATAAAGGCATAAAAACGATAATCTTTCTGAATATTGGCATGAGAAATAATAAATGAATCTGAAACCTTCGAGATGCTTTAAAATCTGGAGTATGGGTAAAATCCTCACACTAAGTGCAGCATGGGTGAGAAAAGAGAATCTGATCGTTGATTTTTTATTTTTTTTGGGTGAAGGAATACGATCGTTGATAGGTTGGTTTTTTTTTTTTTTTGTCAAAAAAATAGATGTCCTATAACCTAATTTAGCCTAATCTAAGGGAAAGGGGAGGGGGTTCGATGTGAGTACAGACTCCATCGATGAAGGTCAATTAAGACCGCCACAAATTGTGACAAATATGTGGGAGACAGGGATTGAATCCCTGACCTCCAGCATCACTTTTAATGGTGATGACCACTGGACCAAATGGCCAGTGGCGTTGATAGGTTGGTTCACAAGGCCCAAGATGAATGGATTGTCATAAAACTCGTAACTCTCAGATCACTGACGTAAGTGTCCAGCTGCGATGCATGACACGGAATATCTTCCTTGTCATTGCATGATTTTAGTAGTACCTATTTCACTACTACTGCCACTTTAAGAGAAACCGGCCACTTCCCGTGACTCCTACTCTTTTTAGCTTTTAATCCTCCTCCTCCAGCTATAAAATCGTGTTTTGGATTGATCAAAATTACAAAAATCACGAAAATAGAGCCCTCAAGTCTACGTATTTTTAACTGACTAAAATTCAAAAAATAAAAAAAATTTTGCTAACGGTGTCTCTGGAACATTCGTAAGAGAAATCTCAATTTGTTAATTTTTTTTACAAAAGTCAAATTAAAATTTTCTAAATATAAGAATGCATTAGATGTAGTAAATTATGTGTAATTTAAATGTACCAACAAATATTTATTCAAATAAAAAAATCCTTAAAAAATTAACAAATAGAAGAGAAAAATTAAAGAAAATGATCCAAACTCTTCAAATCATTTCTTAAAAATTAGAGAGGGAATCTTTTCTAATTATTATTATTGCGAGACAAAAATGGTTAGAATAAGCTGGAAGGACTATATAGTTTGAACACAATCCTCAAATTTCGCTGAAAACGATAGTAAATGTTATCTAAAGCAACCTCCATAGTGTATTTCCTTCACAAAACAAAAAAAAAAAAAAATCCTCTTTAGTGTATTTTATTTTGTTGCTATTTTTCTGCTTCCGGTCTGAACCCTTGTATTGCGATTTTGTACATAGATCCTTCCCTCGTCAGCTGCGTCATAATTACCGACTAGCCCGGTCACCAACATTTGCGACGTCGTATTGTCCCACTCAAAAGTCGCTTGATTATTCTGCCAAGTTCCAACCACTACTAGACTACTCGTGCTCTGTTTTGCTCCGTTTACCATCCGGCGACACCTGATCGCTTCTTATCTTTTATTTCTCCAAAGGTAATTCTTCCCTTTTCCCCTGCAATTGTTGTTTCCATCTTCTTACTTTGTTCGGCAATAGTCAATACTACTTTTCATTATTGAATTTTGTAGGAAAAATGTTTGTGCATAAAATTTATTTCGGACCATCTTATGGATGATTATTTTTTTTTTCTTTTACGTTTTAAATTCACATGAAATTCTTTACTCGAATCAAATACCGAAAACTACGAATAGCTGAACCAATATATCTGGTTCAAATAATACATCTATCAGTATTCCTTGTAGCAAATTTTGTTTTATTTTTTATTTTTCATTTTTGCACCGCTGCGGTTCTCTGCCTTTTTGAAATTCTTGTTTGCGTCAGAATCACACATGTTTTGAGTATGTTAGAAATACGAATAATCTATTTTCTGTTATCAAAATTTTGATGTCGCTCTGAGTTTGACCTGTCAATATCAGCAAATCGTAGTTTCAGTTGCTAAAATAGTAATTTGTAATTTATATTATATCTTCACTGGCAACTTCGTGTACCTTAAATTTTTGGTATTTTCTTATATTTTACTTGTAAGTGTTTTTGTGTATATCATGCTACTGTATAAGATGGATAGGGATTTTGTCAGGCGATAATTACTTTTTTTTTTTTCCCACGTGAAAATTCGAGAACTCTGAAAATATGGAAGATTTATGTTTGGAAGTCATCGTTAATTTATTTATGTATCTACCTTTATGATATATTATATTACCTGTGTTTTTGGTTCTGGAACTCAGTTTGTCACAATGAAGACTGGGAAGGGCAAGGGGGCAGTGAAAAAGGACACAAAAGAAGCATTGAAGCCTGTCCATGATAGGTTCTTCTTCTTCTTCCTCCCACCCCACCCCACCCCCCCAAAACAAAAAAAAGCATACAATTTCTAGTATTTATATTGTTTATTGTTGACGTTATGAATAGCTATGTTCTAACTAAATGCGTCTAATACATCTGACATGTACATTTAGCTGGCCAAGAACACTAAATTTTATTTTGTTGGATTAAATTTTTCTTATGTTTGATGTTGGATATAGAGGCAACACATATTATAGTGATGGATCGTGTATATATGTGGTTTTTACAGAGGAGTTGGGAAGAGAAAGGCAGTCTTCAAGGCAGATCAGAGTAGTAAAAGGAAGGCTAAGAAGGAGAAAATAGCCAAGAAAGATCCCAATAAGCCTAAGAGGCCCCCTAGTGCCTTCTTTTTATTCCTGTATGTGCCTTGATTTTCCCCAAATAAGAACTCGTTATACTTGCAGCTTAATCTAATTGACTTCGTTTTGCAGTGAAGAGTTCAGAAATACATTTAAGAAGGAACATCCTGATGTTAAGGCCGTCTCAGCTGTAAGTGTTTGTGAACATTTTCATATGCTTTAGTTCTTGCGCACATCGATTCTCAATGTTGTTGATGGTCTCTTGGTCTCTAATATATATGCCATATTTCAAGGTTGGGAAAGCTGGAGGGGCAAAGTGGAAATCCATGACTCCAGCGGTGAGTGTTCAGATGTGTATCTAATATCTATGGTATACACTAACCTGAACAACAGTCTTAATTGTGGTTTTGGTTGTCTGGCTAACACTTTGCTATTACCGACTAAAATATTGCAACTATGGCACAACTATGGTGACTGGGTTAAGACATTAGGACATTTTTCAATTAGCATTCCTTAGAATGTGAGTTAATTCTTGAAGGCAGACATAAACAGGCTCTTGTATTTTGAAGGAGATATGTAATAGGAGATCCATTATGCTCTGTAACTGACAAGGATGTCCTTTCTCTTTGGAAGGATAAAGCTCCATATGAAGCTAAAGCTGCAAAGAGGAAGTCTGAGTATGAGAGGCTTATAAATGCCTACAACAAGAAGCAGGTGAAACAATTCATGCGTTTTTGCTATGGTATCACAGAGCACATTTTACCAGTAGAATAATGTTATTAATACTTTTATCAATTTAATGTCGTTGTGAAAGGGCTTCTACATTAGGGTTTGTAATGCCTTAAGTTTCTGTATATGACTGGCAGGAAAGCTCAGCTGATGAGGGTGAGGAGGAATCTGAGAAGTCCAAGTCTGAAATTCAGGATGACGAAGAAGAGAGTGGGCAGGTATATATGCTTCTATATCTATGTTATTTTTTTCTTCTTTGGTCTTTAGATGCAGGATAGCCTGGGATGAAGTTGCTCTGCTGGTTCACTTTCTGTTTGCTTTATATTCGCCAGTAGTTTTTAGTTAATTTTCAATTATTAGGTGATAGTTGATGTTTTGTTATGATTTAGATCTAATCTTTGAGGCACCAAGTCGAAGTCTCCAAGCATTGGGACCACAATTCCACATCATTTTACTCTTTTTATTATTCTTTTTCCAGATGCTTTAGTTGAAATATATTGTTATCTTGACTATCAATAGTGCAGGTTAAAATCAAGAAATACTTGGTTTTGAAACTATATAGGACCAGACAGAAAAATTAGACGTCGTCTACTAAAAAAATGTTACATTTATAGTTTACAGCCTGGTAGAGGATGAAGGATTCTCTGTGGAGTTGAGGTTATTCTAAATTTCGTTTTAAACCATCCAGAATTCTAATGGAAATGGTTTAAAAATTTCCTCTGAATAACATTCGACAGTATAATCGTAATAAGATGAACCTCTCAAGTTTACCTTCTTCGGGCTCCTTGTTATCTGAATGCAAGAGTGGTGCCTTTGTAATTGTTGGTATATCCCACAAGAAATGTAGCTGTAGTTACAGCCACTGGATGCATTGAGACAAATACTCGTGCATGTGTATCTGTTCTATGCCAAGCTAATCTGGTAACCTTTGGACAGGATGAGGAGGACGAAGAAGAAGAAGAAGATGACGACGAAGACAATGACTGAATCAGAAAGGGGGTGTTTTTGGTGTTTTGAAATAAATATAATGTACTATATCTTTTGTCCTTTGCTTTTGTCATGCTAGATTACCCGACTGAGAGTATAGGTTGGTATACAAATGAATTGATCATAAGGGGAACCGGGCCTCATGAAATTGCCTACGCTACTAGCAGGATGCATGTGTATATATGTACACAAACATACAAGTCGACACCTTATTGGCAGTATTTTTTTTTGCCTTTTTTTTTTGGGGGTACAATGTCAGTGTGTAATTTACTTGGCTTCGCCTACTAATGCAAGAGTTATTTATTTCTTGGGTTGACCGTTGACCGCATTCTACTTACCATCCAAAGCTGCAAATTCGATCTTTGGTGAAACCTATCAATTTGTGTCCTGGATTTGTCGACCCTGTTATAGATCTATACTGATTTCAGTTGATGCCGGAGGACATCTTAGCAAATTTAAATTAGACTCGGTTATGAGCAAGATGTTTATTTATTGAGGGTTTCTTTTTGACTGCTTTGATTTTGTAAAGGTTGATTTTATTGAATTGATTTGTGAAAATTAGATTAATCATGTATTCTTGCTTGCTGTTGAAAGCTCTATTTAGATGCGTCCATGTTCTAGGAAAAAAAAAGTTTTGAAAGTTGAGTTTGACTAATTAATGATCGACGTCGTTTTGGAAAGCTGATTTAACTAATTAGCGATCAGGGGAGGGTTGGGTTGGGTGGTAGGGGGAGGGAGTGTAAGCAAGAGGTCTCGGATTCGAGTCCTTCCGCTTGCACTAAAAAAAAGCTAAAAAAAAAAACTAATTAGCGATCAAATTGTCCTCCTATGCTACAAGAATGGACTTTAGAAGTATTTCATAGTTATTTTACAATTCTGAGGGTACAAGTAGCCCATAATGAGAATCCAAAAGCAATATGTAAAACTTCAAAAAATGTACAATTACAATGCCGAAAATAGCTGAAGATAAATAAAAAAACGTTTAAGAATCAAAAGATAAAATTACTTTGAGAACAAGGCCTCGTACGCTCGAAAAGCTATTGATGGAAGTATCAAGTGAAAATATTTCAAGTTCGTAGGTATAGAGACATATTGTGATAAGGCATTCCTCAATGCGCCTTCACGTCAAACATGATCTTCAGGGACGCAACTAGAAATAAAACTTGAGAGGAACCGGATACGATTGAAATATCAGATTCACCATATGCAGTACATGGCAAATCTAGATGGTACCAATTACTCACAATTCTATATCTAAAAGTATTAGAGAAATAATGACCGCAGTTGATTGCCATTAGTACATGGCATGCGGTGCAAATGGTATGCGAATACCGACTTTGAAATATTCTTTTTACTAAAAGAGGTTGCTTGCAGGGTGATTTTAATTTTATATTCCAAACGAAAAATGTAAGGGGAAAAAAAAAAATCAAAAAGCTCCACAGCAGGGCTGCTCCAAAAGAAACACTGGCTTGGCCTTGCGAGTCATTACTTCCATCCTCCTAGAACTATATATAGGACACCCTTGACAGATGGACGGACGCGGGACGCCAGACTCGACAGACTTGAACTCATAGACAGGAAAAGAAGACTTGGTAATCTTACAGGAAAGTCATCAATTCAAGTTGCGAACTGCAGCGCTTCTGGAAAAATGACCAACTCGACTCGTCATCTGTATCAAGCTGCTGATCATGATCGTCGACCTAATACAAGGCATAAGGTGTTCTATATCTTCAATCAAGACCAACCTTTTGCTCCTTGGATGTTACTTTAGCAACTTCTTTCTTTTAGGTAGCAACTTCAATAAACCCAAAATTGTGTACGAACATTACATGTTATACTAGTGGCCTAATGGGTGGGTGCATAATCCCCAACTCAAGCACTAGCAGGTAATCGACGTAAAATCGACAGGACCCAAAGCCCCAAGTACAAGTAAGAGAAGACGAAGAAGGGCTAGAATGCAATTGCGCTGAGACCTTTTCCTTAGAATGCCTCGGATCTCATAACAAGCAGCATAGGAAAAGTGGAAAACCGCTTCCACATATTTACGCCGACCTCGGGAAAATCTTCGAGTTCCCAGCAATATGCAGCCAATGTATTTCTCAACATCTCTATTTCTGTCTTGGCACAATAATAATATCTTTTGGAGTCAGTCGATTTTATCATTACAATTCAAATTCAAAATGATAGCTACTGCAGCAACACAAAAGAAACTAAAAGAATGAATTTCATGTTTGCATCTTGAATGTGTGATAAATACAGTGCAGACATCACCTCTAATGCTAGCTCACAATTGCCAAACGTCTGTTTATAGTTCTAAAACTTGTTTATATAAACAACTACACAAAAGCATATGTACATATGTACAACAATTTCAATTTAATGAACACTATAACTGTACCCCAAGAATTCTTTCATCTGAATTGAGGATCATAAGAGACCAGCACTGCATCTGGAACTAGCAGAGGTAGTTTCTCAATGTACATGAAAAGTCTCTTCAAGTTTTCCTTTGCAATTGCTGACAACTCTATAATTTCACAACTGCTACTGTAAATCCAAAGGTCTCCAGAATTTACTCTTTTGAGACTATCCCGACAGAAAGGGCATGATTGAGACCTTGCACGCCTAAGTCAAACAAATAATAACCCAGCATTAAGAAACATTACCTTGTTTGACTTTAGTAGAGGTTTCCATCTAAAACAGATAGACAGAAATAAGGCACAGCTCAAATATCAGTTCGGAAACACGGGGAGAATGAAGGGTAACAGACACAATACCCTGAGGTCATAGAAACAAATCAAACTGGTCATCTGCATCCAATAATTTATTAAACTTTAGTTCTTTCACTGATAACAACAGGACGAGGATTTTTAAAAATTCCATTCCTTTTCTAATCTGTTTGAAGCTCTTGCCTTGCAGAAATCAGCAGACGCACTAGGACCAAAGATTACCCGGAAATGCTACAAATTCAGACTTGAGGATTTTTAACTGAGCCTGAGATCAGATTTACTATATTGTAACTCGAGCGGGTACCATACGACTAGATAGAGATGCCACACCAGGAGCGAGCGATTGCAATGTAGCCCTTGGCTGGTTTTAAGTGATCTACAGAACTAAAGCTCAATATATCACAAGAATCAAAATGAAGGGCATGGGACTAATTAGGCTTCTGTAATTACATGCTGCATGGCTGCATCACATTGAGATATCTAGACACTGGTGCTCAATGGCCATCCTATTCGCAAAGGAATACAACAGCAAAAAGATCATAAAAGGTAAAAGAAATGTCCAAATTCATAGTAAAACCAAAAGCGGAATAATTACCAGTCCCTATAACACTTCAAGCAGAGAGAGTGGTTGCAGCTGGGGAGAACAACCTTAGATTTCATCTCCATGCAAATTCCACATTCTTCTTCTCTCTCAATTTCGATTTCAGACAACTTACCTTTGCCCATTTCATAACTTCTAGTGTACTTCTTGGCACAGATTTCTCTCTGTTTTCTTTCTTCAACTTCAGTGATTCCCCTTTGAAGTTGCAACAAGGAGGGGAATATCACACCTGGTCCAATTTCAGTCCTTGTCAGAACTCGCATTGTGAAAACGACCAAAATTTTTCCTCACCAAGAACTACAATATAGAAGCCTCAGCAAGACTTTTTTTTTTTAAAAGAAAAGAAAAGAACCCAAAGATTGGCTCACCATAAAATTCCTTTATAGTAGCTTTCCTTTCATGAACGGACATGGATGTCCTACCATCTTCGTATGCCTGCAATTGCAAAATCATCTTATCGACTATCATTAACAGAGGAAGGAAAGAAACAAGAGCAACAGTGTAGCAGCAGGAACGAGATCAAGAAGATAGGAAATGACCTTATAAATAAGGATCCTGAGAAAGCCAAGAATTCCAGCAAGGTGACAATCCGTCCACTGGACGAGAAAGAGAAAAATGTGGGCACAAGGACTATATGATAGTCTCATCTGGAGGCAAGCTCCATCATATTCTCTAGGATAATCAGAAGCCCTGTGTTCCAGAGAAAAAATCAAATATTACTGTTGTGTTTGGATTGCATTTTTCTAGATTTTCTGTAGAAAAATTATTGTGGCGATTTGATATATGTAAGGTAAAAAGGTGATTGGAAAATGTGCTCACGGAAAACGTAGCAATTTTTCCATTCCTTGATATATGTAAGGTAAAAAGGTCTTTTCTATATTGCACCTTGTTTCTGATCCTAATCTTTATTGACTAAATTTAGAAAATGGACCAATAATCAGCAGAAAGGACAATGACTTTAAGGAGATAAATGAGGGAGGATGTGAAAACGGGGCTAATTTGTTGGAAGTCTTTAATGCCTCAACCGTTCAATTAACTCTTGATTACTCAGATTCTACAGGAACTTTTGAATCCAGAAAAATAGGAAGAAAGAATTTTTGCCAACTGGGATTATCAAAATATGTTTGTGGCTCAAAATTCATCAGACAGGGCAGACAGCAATAAAATGGAATGGAATCAATCAAGGAGGATAAAAACACAGATGGAAAAAAGAGCACGAGCACAATAACACGGGAAATCCATTCCCCAAATAATGTAAAAAAAAAAAGAGAGTAGGAAACATAAAAGGAAAAACGAAAGGTAATTGAACCATCAGGTTTTATCATAAAGAACTACTTAGTACCAGTAAGAATTTTCAGGAAAGACGATGAGGTGGGTTAACTGATAGAATAATAAGTTAGCAGTAATGGAATAAGGGTAACCCATTCAAACCCCAAACCCTGCTTCGAGCTACGGCAGACAACACAAAAATAAAAATACATACTACTATTTTGTGGTGAAATCAGGAGTTGGTTTGAATCAGGAGCTAAACAAATTGTAACCTTAAATATTTCTTTTCTGGTAAAAGGAAGAAAAAAAAAAAGAGAGAGTAGCAAAAACGGTTCCATGGTTTAGGAAATTAGACAATCTAAAAAAGCACAGAAAAACAGGGAGAAGAAGGGGTGAAAGCAAAGCAGGCAGAAGTGTTTCGGGGAATTGTCGGTTGAGGGTACAGCTTACATACAAGGTATTGGCATGTTGGATGTCAGCTTCAAGGGCTTTGAGAGAATCCTTAAAAGACTTCCTCATCATCACTTCTTTTTTCTCCAGCACCTCTTCCTCCTCCTAATTTCCTCAATTCCCATCCAACTCCAACACCAATGTCCCTGAAAACCTTTCTCTGATCCTCCGCAAGCCCAAAGTCGGATATTACTGTACAAAATAAATTAATAATCGTCCACTAAATAATAGTACTACTGTGAAGATAAGGAACAATGATTCATTACAACAACCCTCCTGCTCAGCAAAGAATGAATGAATGAATAATCTATCGTAAATAATAACCCAAAAAAGAGAGAGAGAGAGAGAGAGAGAGAGGGGTAGAGAGAGAACCGCTTAGGATGTAGTCACGTAGTGTCTGTCTGGAGAAGCCTGGATTTGGAGGGAGCAGAGAGATGAGAGAACTAAGGGAACAGAGTTGGAGAGAGAGCGGCGTCACGTCGACGTCGTCGAATTTACGCAGCGGAGTAGTAGCTAATCTTGCCTCTAGTAATTGGACTTTTTTTTTTTTTTTGGGGGGTTTGGAGTAAAGAAATCCTGGAAACTTGAAGAAAGATTACCAGTGGGACCGACCCTAAATGATGATTTGGCTGGCCGTATCCTATTCTTGTGGAAATGGGTTGGACAACCCGAAAGGAAATTGGCCAAATAATCCGACAACTGGCTGTATTTGCTAGTATCCGCACGCTTTTATGCAAATGGGGAAAAAAATGTTCGAGAAAATACTGTGTTTGTTTGGATAGAGTATTATTTGAAATAATTACTGTAATATTTTTTGTGATATGATGTATGTGAAATAAAAAATGATTGAAAATATAAAAAAATAAATTGAAAAATATATTTATAATGCTAGCGAAAATTTTTTTTTAAAAAAATTATCTATCCAAACATAACCAGAACTGTTAGTTACTAGCGAAACAACTAGTAAGTTAATTCAGAGGTGGATTTAGATGAGTAACTATAAGTGAAATATCCAAGAGTTTTTGCCCTTCCACTTATATTTTAAAAAAAAAAAAAATGACCAGTGAAAGTGAAAGTGGTAAGCACCTTTCACTGGTATGATACTCGGGACGTCGTCGTGACTTGTGATGCATGGGTTCGATTTGGCTTGCGCCGCACGCTTCTGTTTCTTGAATCTACGCTTTGATTATTTCATTCCTCCTTCCCACTGTTGCGGTTAATGTATGAGCGGCGATCCAAAATCCACATCCCACCCCCACACTCTCATAGCCTGTAACCGCAGGAGAGGTCACCCACCCCAATGCAGTTGAACACTTGAAACTAACCACGAGATACAAATTTCTTAGTCCCTTTCCCACCCAATTCATGGACTCAATGATGCATGCATGCGTTTCAAATTGCGTGAAGTGGACCTCTTCTTTTTTTTCCTGTTAAAGCAAAGAAAACTTGTATGCAGATTTTCAACTGGCTACCACCAATTCTTTTGCATCTACCGCAGTACTACCACCAATTATAATAGTTTGGATGCTGAGTTTTTTAGATGCTTGTACAATAATTTGTTGTCGAACTTGTGAAAAAAAATTTCCGTATTTGAAGATTTAAAAAAATAAAAAATTTAAATTTATTCCTCTTCTTTTCTTTTTTCCATTTTGTTTTTCATTTCTTCTTCCTCGCTACTTCTCCAACCACACACTACTGTCACCACTGGCATTTTTTTTTTTTTTTCTTTTTTCTCTTTCTCTGCTTCCATCTCCTACTCATTCCTATTTTCCCTTCTCCTTCCTCCTCTCATTTTCCCCCCACTACTCCCCCTTGTTCTCACCCATCTCTCGTGACTCTCGACCTCTGTCCCCTATCGAATCTGGTCTAGATCCGATAGGAAAGATGGGTTGAGGGTTGTGGTTGATGAGGAGGAGGAGGAGGGAGACGGTGGCGAGAGAAGGGGGAAGAAAGGTAGGAAGAGAAGAGAATGAGGAAGGGATGAAGAGAGGGGACATATAGAAAGAGAGGGAAGAAAGGGTAACTAGTGCTGGCGATGGTATTGGGCTGAGGTGGGTGTGACGATGGTATAAGTAGAAATGGTTAGGGATGATGGTTAGGTAAAAGAGCGATTGGGTGTGTGTTGGATGTTTTGAAATATGAATTTAAAAACTCGGTGTGTTTTTTTGAGAGTTCTTGCACATTATATATTGTTTAAAAAAAAAAAACTCATCCAGTAAAAATGAAGGAAAAAGAGTGCTAAACAAGCCTCTATTTTTCAAGAATAAATTTTAACCAACATTAATGGACAATGATCGCGTCAAACGCGGCCATCCCTTGCTCATATATACCGTATGTACTCTGTACATACGGTATTCTTAAAACAATGGCAAATAGCATCTCGTGGTGGATAACGTCGTGTTGCTTTAAATCAATGACCATTAGGCTAACGAAGAGCTCACTCCCCTGTGCGTAGTTTTGTTTCTAGCCTTTGCCTTGGCCTTTCGTAAGAAACTAATGCCATCTAGAGCTTAACTCGAGTCTGTTTCGTCCGGTCCATAAAACAGCTCGATGAGTCTTATATTTGATAGGATTGGGCAGAGTTTGAGACTAAATAATAGATTTGAATTAAATATGAATTGAGTTTGCGTCTCATTGGACTCAAATCTGATTAAGAATTGATCCATTCATATGTATAATTATATGTATAATTGCATATTAAATGATATATACAAAATATATAATTATACATACTATAACATATTAATAACTTATATTCAAATCTATAATAATTTATAAATATTAATATATTTTACATAATTATGAAGTTAATTATATGAGTTTGAACCGAATCCAATATGAGTTGAGTCCAAAACTCATATTATATGATAAGCCAAGTTTGAGCCTTCTAATCTAGGCTCGAACCCTAAAAGTTTCATTTATTTTTTGAGTCGAATTTGAGCTTACAAAATCCCGACTCATGAAACCAATAATGGCGCCCACTCCAGTTGCTAGTCAGTGGAACATTTGCCGGAGATGAAGCCAGAACACCAACCACACCCAACTTACACTATGGTTCTGGACCCCGGTCCCTTGATAGATGGTATTCAAATCCAATTGACCGTGTCAAAGTTTAATTACAAGTTTTCTTTTCTCATTAATAATAACGGGAAAGGAAAAACAAATTGCCGGAGTTCCTTTTCCCTTGCCTCCAGCTCTCTGCGTAATTGGCAAAAAATAAAAATAAATAACAGGCAAACAAATTGGATAGGTCCAATTTCTCAAGGACAAAGTCCATTCCAAATCCATCCATCTAAACATTAAATAACTGCTCCAGGGCCCGGGGATTGGTTTGCCATGACCCATCATTAAAAACGCCAAAACGTCTTGCGTACTCAATTGCTACTATTAATAGCAAGTAAATACACAAAGACCAAGAGGGGAGGCAACGTTGTTTGAAGGCGCAACTCAATAATATAACATCAGGGCTGGGCGGGCCGGGCTTGCAAAACGTCAAAATCTAACCACGACAAATGAGACATCAACAGTAGACCATATGTGTGTAGAGTGACAAGCGAACCAACCCTTTGCTTGCAAAACACAGACATTAATCGTATTTCATCACAAAGGAATTATTACTCTTTATCGGGATCAAATAAAACCAAAAAAAGAAAAAAAAAAATCCATGCACGACGGTAATATCAGGCCTCTTCAAATTTGCCACTTTGGCACGATTGACTGTAATTTGATACTCCCTTCGTTTCACTTTAATAGTTCTGTTTTTTTTTTTTTTCCTTCTGTTCCAAATTATAGTTCACTTTCCAATTGAATAATGTAATTATCTTTTAATTTTTCTAAAATACCCATTATTTAATGTAAGTTGTTATTACTATAAACTACCTTATTTAATATAGATTGTTAGTATTGAATACAACCTATCCCATTTAATGCATTTAGATTTTCTAAAACATATTGATATATGAAAAGGCAACTTTATTTAATGTAAGGGTATTTTAGAAAAATAGTAATCTAAATTTATTTTTCCAATAAAGTTAACTGCTTTTTTATTAAACTGTATGAAAAAAAAATTAGAACTATCGAAATGGGACAGAGGGAGTATCTATTAATATATACTACTATTAATACGAGGGAGGGGAGGTGGATGGTAATGATTCCACCGAAACACATACTTCATCTTCACGCTAGTGTTCCTCCAACCACGAACTACCTTCAACAAGATACTAATCCATGCAGCTCATTCTACAAGTTTGATTATTGATCAGCTAACATATTAATCTGCTATTTAGTTCACCAATTCAAGATATAAAAAGATTTGTTTCTATTAAAAATGAATAAAACACGTGGCACTTGTTTCCTGGAAGAAGTCCAAACGTTCCCAAGTTCAGGGACCATTAAAAATGTGTGACTATAAACCTTCAGCAGCATTGTCGGTTTAAGACTGATGTCTGAGGATGAGACTAGGAACGTAGGCAAACTATCGGATTACAGATTCCAAAACTTCTTAGAAGCAACCTCTTTTTATGACAGCATGGATAGATATCTTGAGGAACGATGATTATCTTATTTATCTTCTGAATGGTACAACAAACCATCCCGATTCTCCAGAGTTGTCCTTAAAAAACAGCTGGAGTTTCGCATTAAAACTGATTGTCCTCGCTGCCTCACTCCTTAATATCCTTAATGAAAACCTGTCACACATACCAAGGAGATAATGAGTTTGTTTGGATAGAGAGAATTTGGAAAAAAAAATTTTGCCTCACAAATCCCAATCACCTTTTTATCTTCTCAATCACCTTTTTATCTCACACACATCACATCACAAAAAGTACTACAGTAAATATCTCAAATAAATCATCCAAATTATCTTTGTCCAGACAAACTCAATGTATCAGCAGTTAAACTAGCTATGATTTTTTTCCCGGTCTTATTTTTCCCCTTTTTCTGTCCTTGACCCCAAAACCAAGAAACACTTTAGCATAGCAATAAGAATGGGAAAGGATGAGGAAACAGGTTAATGGAGCTGCAAATAAATTAATCTCCAGACACAGATAATCCTGATTACCTCAAAAGACAAGATCATCCACCACATCTTTACACGCTATGGCTGATTATATGTTCAGCAGAAATACCTGAACACTTTCTGCAGTACATATAAAATAGAATTGCAAATACTTCAAAGACATAACGAACGTACATAATTGGCTCAAACCAGCTTTGCACTCTTGCAAGTAGATTTGATAATCCAACATCCGTCAAATTGCACTCGTGGTACATAAGCTTTTCCAACTAGCGCACAACCTTGTAAGCTTTCCTGATCTTAATTGCCTTCCTCTTTAATCCAAGGTAGGATGTGTAATATTTATATCTCTTCTGGTAATCAGACGGCTGTTTAGTAATATAAGATCTTGTCAACTTAAACCAACAAATGTTCCAATGCCCGTTGTCCAAAGTTTGCAATCAGGTTGGGGACACACCATCTGATAATGTCAACAACTTTAAATATGATAGCAGGCACAGGAGAAGTTCAAAGATCTTCTACCATCTGGGACACA